GGGAGTGGTGACCTCAGGGCAGGATCCCACCCAGATAAGTTTCCAACTGTGGAAAGGAATTAAAGAAAAGGTTAGAGCCAGGTGTGACTGTATGTGCCTTTCATCCTAGCACTTGGAAGGCAGAGGCTGCTGGATCTCTTGAGTTTGAGGCCAGCTTGGTCTACAGAGCAAGTTCAAGGACAGCCAAGCTTAGGCAGTGAAGGAAACCATGGAAAACAGAAAGCTGAAGATGTAATTGAATGAGGCACCATGTTCCAATCCCAGGAAGCAGCGGGACTTGGCTGCTTCAGCCATGTGGTTCTGGCTTTAAGGATAGAAAAGGGAGGTTATGGAATATTCCTCTGAGACTAAGGAAAGTCATTGAGGCCAGGCATGTCAGATGTTATGCCCAGATCGCAGGGACCCCCAAAAGACCACCACAGAGACTGAATCCCGCATGTAAAAGCAAAGAGCCTTTATTTCAAGCTCCGAGCTTGGTCCCTCTGTCTGTCCGACACAGCAGTGAGAGCAGAGCCCTGAGCTCAGGTGGGGCAGAGTTTTTACCATAGCAGAGGTTGGGGTGAGGGGATTTCCAGGGTCCAGGACCCTGACTGGCTGACAATTGTCTAGGGGTGTCTGTAAAACAAAAAATAGGTGTGTGCTAGACTCAAGGACATCTGGTCACCTTATCTAATGGTTGGAGTATTTGGGATGTTAGGTACTTCCTCACCCCTGGGTGAATTCCTAGGTGGTATCAGCTTAAGGCTTTTTCTGGATCTGGGTGTTGCCTGCCAGTAAGCCTGTCACAGAAGCTGTGTCTAGACCCCTAAGTCTGTCATGGCTACTGTGTGGTCAAGCTATTTGGGGGCCCCTTCACATCAGGCATGTCCCTGAATGGAGATCCAGAGAGATCACTGTGTGAAGCTGTGAAGGAGGAGCCAAGGTTGCCTTGGAGACCCCAAGATGTTAGAGATGGGATACCTGCCAAGGAAAGGTGCTAACAGGGAGTGGAACGAGCCCAAGACAGAAAATGTTGCAGTCAACAAAGCTGAAAGGAGTTGGAGTTCTGGAGAGCATTTTAACATCAGACATGGAGATGCAGAGTTTGGAGTTTGACCTGACTTGGGAGGAGGAGGGCAGGGGAGGGAATAAAGAAAAGACAGACAGACAGAAAGAGCTGGGTTTGGGTAGTCTGGGCTTTTAGTTTCAACACCATGGAAGTTCAGTGTGTTTATTATGTAGAACTGACTAGACAGGCAGGATTACTGCACACAGCTGAACAAAGGAGGCAGGGTTTATGGTATACAGCTTAGCTCATCTCCATAGGTGTAGTCCCTGTAGGGAAGCAGTCTTCAGATTGTAAAAATGGGGGGACAGGGGAGCTCAACTGTGGTGGACATTTTCTGCATCAACATTATCAATATCCACATGTGGCTTCGCCATTTCCCTCTGAGGCTCACCTCCGAGTATGTGGACATTTTCCCATGGGTCTGAGGCCAGGGTCCTGGACATGGCTGTACTTATATCAACAGTGCTCATTCATTCCAAACTTCAGGGCCTCCCTCGATCTCCACACTCATTTTGGAAGGGAGCATTGTTAGGTGAGTGTTTTTGTGCAGAAAACTGGGAGTTAAAGGGATGGCAGGGAAAGCCACTGGGGGTTATGGATTGCAGCATGTGTCAATGACTGTCAGTTGAGAGAGAGAGAGAGAGAGAGAGAGAGAGAGAGAGAGAGAGAGAGAGAGAGAGCAGTCATCGGAAAGTACCATCCACTCTGAGGGAAGGTCTTCTATTCTCAGCTAATCTTTTCTGGAAATGCCCCTACAGCCTCTCCCTCTATGCAGCCACAGGGAAGCCATTGTACCTGCTAGGTGCAGACCTTCCAGGGTGATTGCTTAAGGTTGCCTGTCCTGCCCAGAATCCCTCACCCATTGCTCTGTAAAAAGCCTAATAAACTCAAACTTCCCCAGGGTGAACTTTAGTGGAACTGAACTTTGGTTTGTCCTTGTGATCTTATCCAGGCTAGACATTGCCCAATCCTCCCAAAGGGCAAAAATTCTCCAATAGATGACTAAGTAGGTTTTGGTCAACAAGCCTGGTGACTTGAGTTTGCTCCCTAGAGTCCATATAGTAGAAGGGGGAGCTGGTTTCCACAAGTTGCCTTTGGACCTCTACATGTGGGCTGTGGAGGGAAAATATGAACCCATGGGCATATTAAAACCAAATTAGAAACACCAGGCCAGCGAACGTATTGAATACACCAAACCAAAGAAGGACGCAGTGCCCTTGCCAGACCCCATAAGGAGAACCCCTGGCACTGCCATGGCAAGGCAACAACCAACGTGTCATCTGACCCAGGGAGGGGCACGCAGAAACTTTCAAGTGTCCCTAGGGCTCCAGCCACAACTGTGGACACAGCATACTTGAATTCCCAGCCGGACATCTATTCACCCATCTGGACTTCCTGCACCTCACCCTCTTGGTTCTACAGTCCTGTGTTTTGCCTCTACGGCCTCCAGGGTCCTGACATAATGCCTATCTTTTGATTTAATCCTAAGGCCTGGTTCAACTTTGCGACTCTGCCCGATTCTGCAGAGATGACCCAGCACCCTGCCAATGGGGTTCTTTATTGAACCCCATCAGTAACGTCTTCTGAGACCTCGCAGAGAGGAGTCTTGGTCGTCTGACACAGTCCCTCTCTGTTTCCCTCTGGCCTTTTCTTTCCAGGTCCCCTCCCCAGTGACTCTGGGTCTTACCCAGCACTGTCTGTGCTTCTGAGTTTTCAGAAACATTAGGACATGGTCTCCTATGCTCCAGACCCGTCTCTCCAGCTTCCATTCACCATCTCAGTCCCAGCACCTCTCATGCCAGAACCTTCCGCTGGGACAGCTGTAAACTTGTGTTTATCTTGGACTACCAAGTGTTGGGGGATTGGGGAATGCACCAGGCTGGCTTCCTGCAAGATGCCCAGACTGATCTCCCTACTAAAAAGGATGTCAGCTCCAAACTCATCCCAGGGACCACCAGCTTTCCTGGGGGACTTCATGAATGTCTGCCACTCCTCCAGTTTTGATGTCTTGTGGATTTTACACAGAAGGCATTCTTATTTGGGTCTTCCCAGGCCTAAGAAACAAAACGTCTGCACTGCCAGGTGTTTTCTGCTCTAGAGGCAGTAGGACCCAGGAGAATGGAGCCGATAAATGAGGCAGATTAAAGTCTCATGCAATAGCTAACTTTATTCAGGGCATCAAGTAATTTACACTCTGAGAGTTAAGTAGAGTCACATAAGTAAAGAGTCCAACCACAAGGACAAGCTTCAGGTGGTGGATAAGCAGTATGTTGCAGGCTACCCAGACGTGGTAGACAAGCCACACATGGAAGCCATGCATGACAAAAAAAAAAAATGTTTTTCCATACAGGCAAATAAATAACAATAGCCAGTTGTAGTGAATAATCTGAAGTAAACTCCCTGCTATCCACTATACCTAGAAGGAACACAAAAACACATTCCAAGAACAATTTTGTGTTTTTGAAGAAACTGAAGTCACAAAACCATTGTCTTGTTTCCTTGGAGTTTTCTCACAAGCACTCTGAATTCTTCTCACCTGACCCCGTTCTTGGACTATGTTCCAACACCTAGGTATCTGTCTTTATGGACATTCAACTTGCCAAAGTCAACTCTGAAACTTATAGTTTTAAAATGGTGTTCAGTACTGTATTCATTGTTTTTCATGTTCCTGTGTCCAAATATTTTCAAGAATAGACCCAAGAAATAAAGGGTTTGGTTTGGCTTACAGTTCAAGGAGAGACAGTCTATCATAACTTGCATTCTAGTTAGTCTCTCTGTTGCTGTGATACACATCATTCCAAAAGCATTTTGGGGAAGAGTTTAATTTGGCTTTCATGCTACAGTTCATCATTGAGGGAAGCTGAGCCAGGAACTGAAGCAGAGACCATGGAGGAACCACCTGCCCAGAACCACCTGCCCAAAACCGCCTGTCCAGAAACACCTGTCCAGAACCACCTGCCCAGGGCTGGCTGAGCCCTCCCACACCAATCATCAATCAAGAAAACATTCCGCAGGGCGGTGGTGGCGCACGACTTTAATCCCAGCACTCGGGAGGCAGAGGCAGGTGGATCTTTGTGAGTTCGAGGCCAGCCTGGGCTACAGACCAAGATCCAGGAAAGGCACAAAGCTACACAGAGAAACCCTGTCTCGAAAAACAAAAACAAGAAAACATTCCACAGACTTTCCCACAGGCTTATCTGAAGAAGGCAATTCCTCAGCGGAGGCTTCCTCTTCCCAAATGACTCCAGCTTATGTCAAGTTGACCAAAAAACAAAACAATAACCCCTAAAAAACAAACAAACAAACAAAAAAGCCAGCACCATGGAGAAGGAAAGGCTGGTCACATTATGTCTGCAGGGAGGAAGCAGGAAGAAGAGATGAAAGTTATCACTTGTGGGATATTTTAACTAGACAAAGATGTGTTGCAGTTGTTTATGCTGTGGAATATTTCTTTAACTATGTGAAGGTGTGTTCCATTTGTTTCTGCTGCCTTTGTTAATGATGCAAAGATGTGTTACATTTGTTCATGCTGCATTTGTTCAGTTATGTAAAGATGTGTTGCATTTGTTTCACCTTGCCTGCCTAAGGTATCTGATTGGTCTAATAAAAAGCTGAACGGCCAATATCTAGGCAGGAGAGGGATAGGTGGGGCTGGTGGGCAGAGAGAATAAATAGAAGAGAAAGCTAGGGAAAGGAGAGAAGAGAGAAGAAAGGAAAAGAGAACAAGGAGAAAGAGGGGGACATGCCTGGGGTCAGAAACCAGGTAGCTGCCAGACAGACACAGAAAGAAAGAAAGAAAGAAAGAAAGAAAGAAAGAAAGAAAGAAAGAAAGAAAGAAAGAAAGAAAGAAGGAAGGAAGGAAGGAAGGAAGGAAGG